CTCGGGAAGTAGATTGCCCAGTCTTCCTTCGGAGGAGTTGCTGGTGGGTTTGAACCTCCAGCCTTCTGATTAGCAGTCAAGTGCCTTAGGAACTATGCCACCTGTAGGCTCTAGTTTATTGCAAACCTTGGACTTCTTGACTTAGAACTGCTTTCTCTCAATACTAGGACTTTCTGGAAGTTATGAGGCATGACCCTGAGGTTCAGGTTGAAATTGCTCTCCCCACAGCCTTTGACATCAGGTGCCTGCATTCTTCCTAACTGTCCTCCAGAATCTCCAGAGCCAGCCTTGGTTCCAGAAATCCAGACTAAGTCATGTTCTATTTGTTCCACCTTAGGTGGCTCTAGCTAGGCTGCCCCTCCCCCATCTTTGCCTGGCTGACTCTTTCTTGTCATTTAGATTTCAGCTTAATTTTTTCCTTCTCAGAAAGGCTTTCTCTATTCATCCAACCCTCTCCAACCCATCACCCAACACATCAGGTATTTGTCTTGTTTATTACTTCCCTACCCCATAGAAGGGAGCTCTGGTGGCGTAGTGCCTAAAGCATTTGACTGCTAACCAGAAGGCTGGCGGTTCAAGCCACCAGCCACTCCTCGGAAGGAAGGTTGGGCAATCTACTTCCTGTAGTGATACTGCATCGGAAACCCAAGGAGGGGTTGCTATGAGTCAAATCCAACTTGATGGCAGGGGCCTGTCCTGCATGTTCAGTCAGTCAGTCACCCCATAGAATATAAACTCCATAAGTGTAGGGACTTGTGTATCTTCATCATTCTGGAATCCCCAAGCCTATAATATAGTCCCTTCATGTAGCTGGCACTTACAAATATTTGTTGAATGAACAAATGGGTTGTTAGTTGGTGAGTCTAACTCTGGCTAATCCTCTGACTTTATGGTTATTCATCATTACTTACATTGTTTCTTCTCTACTCACACTCCGGTCTCCCACCTAGGAAGGGTCAGCCCCTGTCTGTTTTGTTTCCTTCTTGCCATTTTCATTCATCTTTGACAACACAAATGCATGGTGATACTGCCCTCCAACAGGACAGCCTTTATCCAAGCCAAGATGGAAGTGGAAACTGGAAAGCCATGAGATCCAGAAGGAGTGTTGGGGAAAGGGAACCTTAGCAGCCATTAAATCTAAGTCCCCAGTGGAGGAAGACCCCCTGTTCCTGCAATCTGGTGGGGGTTTCATTTTGTTTGTCCACAATAGGTATGATGAGCAGGGGATGGGAAGGATGAAAGTGACTGTTGTGCCCCATGAAATGCTTTAGAGCTATATACGTTTGTTTCTCATGGAAGATGTTAGGTAAAATCAGTCCTGCTTTAGGTTAGATTCTGAGTATTGTTGTTGCTATATGCCGTCGAGTCGGACCCGGCTCATAGAGACCCCTCCTTGGGTTTCACTACGGAAGTAGACTGTCCAACCTTCCTTCCGAGGAGTGGCTGGTGGTTCTAGTTAGCAGTCAAGTGTCTTAGGCACTGTGCTACCAGAGCTCCCAGATTCTGAGTAGGTTCTATCAAAGAGAAAATCTCACCTGCTCTATGCAAATACACAGAAACCCACTCTCCACAGAGGACTGTCACCCCCCAGGGCATCACAAAGAACTCAGGAGGCTCTGGTGAGTAGGATCAAGGGGGCTTGCCTGTTCTCTTCCTGACCACAGGGGCGGGACTCAGTGGTCTCCAGGCCTAAACTTGAAGGCTCTGCCACTCTTTGAGGTGGAGATGAGGGAGGTCGTGAGACTCCCAGCTAAATTTGAATTCCAGATAAACTACAAGCGATGTTTTAGTATGTCCCAAACAATATTTTCACAGTGCATGCAATGTGAGATGTAAGTACACTAAAAAATTATTCACTGTATCTGAAATTCAAATTTAATGTATTTTATCTGGCAACTCTAAGGAGAAAGGGGTAGAATTTAAAATAAATGGCTTCCTTAGGGAGAACTATTGGGATATGTGGAAAACAGAGGCCACAGTGTGCTGTGCCTTTTTGAGACGAGGGACGAAGTAGGTTTTTTCATGCCAATTAAGCAATCATAGACGACTCCGTCAGAACTCCAGGCTTGTGATTATCACGGGACTCAAGACCAGGGGAAAAGAAAAGTTGGGTTAAGGGCCAGAGAGGCAGTCTTCACACTGCCTGCCAGCATACAGAGGGATTGTTTAATCAGGGAAGGTAAGAGTGTTGCCGCTAACCCATAATTGTATGACTGTTCTTTGAGGACAGGGTTTAGGAAATTCTGGTGGGCTATGCACCCTCCCTCTGGCCTCCTTGATGCTTAGCTATAGCAGAAGTTTTCCTCAATGTTTGAAATTTCTGACTTCTCAGGGTTCACTAAGTCTCTCCAAAATCCTCTCAGCTCTCCTAGACTTCAGAGAAGAAAAGCAAAATCCAGGAAAAGTGCCTATTCAGGCTGGGAGAAGCAGCCTCCCTGCTTTAGGCATGGTGTTCCGTCACTTAAAGGATTGCTTCCCTTGGCTTGAGTGGGATGAAGTGCATTCACTGTCCTCACACTATGCACCATGTGGCGGTGGTAGTTCAGTGGCAGAATTCTTACCTTCCATGTGGGGAGCCCTGGGTTCAACTCCCAGCCAATGCACCTCATGTGCAGCCACCACTCATCATTCACTGGAGGCTGGCACATTGCAATGATGCTGAACAGGTTCTAGTGGTGCTTCCAGACCAAGACAGACTAGGTAGAAAGACTTGACTATCCATTTCTGAAAATCAGCCAGTGAAAGCCCTATGGATCACAACGATCTGATCCACACCCCATCATGGTGATGGCCCAGGACTTGGCAGCATTTTGTTCCATTGTGCATTGGGGTCGCCATGAGTCAGTGGCTGCTAACTCAACAGAGCTGACAACACCAGTTGCCAAGGCTCTGAGCTTGAGCTATAGGGTAGGAAAAATGACTTAACACTTGCATCTGTAATTTTGAATACAAGGTTCAGCCCTACATTACTTACCTGGGATGATGAGTGAGTTCAACTGCAATTTCTCTTTTATAGCTAGGATGGTTGGTTGGTTGGTTGTTTGCCACTGAGTCGGACCGAACTAATAGCGACTCCTTCTTGGGTTTTGCCAGCAGTACCACTACAGAAGTAGATTGCCCAACCTTCCTTCCGAGGAGTGTCTGGTGAGCTTGAACTGGCAGCCTTCTAGCTAGCAGTCAAGTGCCTTTGGCACTATGCTACCAGAGCTCCTAGGATGAGGAAAGTATAAATAAAATGCACCCAGTGGAAAGGAGTTGCGTGAATACCCTATTCTGCTCTCCTACCCATGGTGGTTTCTACTGCTCACTCCTGTAACTCTATGGGGATGAGAGCTTTGAAATTCACAATGAAAGGGAAGGAAAATGCACAAGAGCAAGGAGAGAAGCTTCCATTGTTGGTTTTGAATAAGCCTACTTTAATCATGACATTGCAATTCATGAGTTTTTTGGGTCTGTTTTTACATTTTATAGGTTTAAAGTTTTTTGTTTGTTTGTTTGTTTTTTAATCCTAGTCATGAGACTTAAGGTTCCTGGGTGACACAAACAATTTGCTCTCAACTATTAACCTAAAGGGAGCTCTGCTGGGGTAGTACCTAAGGCATTTGACTGCTAACCAGAAGGTTAACTCCCTGGAAGGAAAACTGGGCAATCTACTTCCATAGAGATACCATCTTGGAAACCCGAGGAGGGCTTGCTATGAGTCAAATCAACTCAACAGCAGTGAGTTTTTTTTTTTTTTTTAATTAACCTAAAGGTTGCCAAGTTGAACCCACCCAGCAGCACTGAGGAAGAAAGACCTGGTGATCTGCTTCCATAAAGATTAAAGCCAAGAAAACTCTATAGAGCAATTCTACTCTGTCACATGGGGTTGCCATGAGTTGGGATCAACTCAACAACAATGGGTTTTCATAATACTTGAAATAGAGAGAAGCAGAAATTGATTTAGGTGTGGACTGGGAATTGGTACACACCATCAGGTGGAGAACGTGGATGAAACAATGCCCCCCTATTGGGCTGGTTCTTTTCAGAAAGTGGGTTGGAAGGTGCCACATTCAGGTACTCTGCCTCCCATTCCCATGACCAGGATCAGGCCAAGGGGACTCTGGAAAACCACATGATGTAATCAGAGCTCCAAGGTACTTGTTGGTTGCTGACAAGTTGGTTCTGACTCACAGCAACCCCTTGTGACAGAGCAGAACTGACCCATAGGGTTTCCTAGGTTGTAATCTTTGTGAAAGCAGGTCAGTAGGTCTTTCTCCCGAATAGCCACTGGGTGGGTTCGAACCACCAATCTTTCAGTTAGTAGTCAAGCACTTAACTGGAACCTCATGACTCCTTTTTTGTGCAAGGAGTGATATCAAATAATAATTTTTTTTTTTTTTTTTTTACTGCGACTTTGGGCCAGGGAAGGTAGAGAATGAATAAAAATGTTTGCTTTTTCTCTCTCTCTCTCTCTCTCTACAAGTTTATGTTATAGGATTAAATTGAACCCAAATAATAACTCAATTTGAGAGTTTTTGCGTTTGTTTGTAGTTTCTCCTTTGAACTTAATTTTCAGTTGGTGGAAGGGATTGGAGTCCTGAGTGGCACAAATTGGTAAGCGCTGGGCAAATAACTAAAAGGTTGGTAGTTTGAATCACCCAGAGGTGCCTCAGGAGAAAGGTCTGGTGAACTGCTTCTGAAAGGCCACAGACATGAAAACCCTGTGGAACAGTTCTAATGTGCACACATGAGGTCTCTATGAGTCAGAACTGACTCAATGGCAACTGTTTTTTTGGAAGGGGTTAGAAACCTGAGCTCTTTCCAAAGTCTTTGATATGAAATGCTGAAAGAAGCAGGTAAAACTCATCCAAGAGAGAGAAGCCAGGGCAACCCATCTATGGTTGCTGTCCACCTAGAGAGAATGTCACTATGGATCTTTAAGGGATGTTGAGCAAGGATGCTTCAGATGCATTGAATGATGCCTCATGCCCCTTCCATTAGGTGTCCTGCCCCACAAGATGCCAAGGGAAGATGCTCACCTCATATATGGTTACCCCAGGAAGGGGCACGGCCATGCCTCCATCACAGCTGAAGAGTAAGTTCAAAACTAGATGCAGAGGGGCTTGGGGAGGCCATTTGCTGATGCAGCCTGCTGACCTCCTCCTACATATACCTGTCCTGAACTCTCCCTATTCTTCTACTGGCTCACTCAGGTTCTCTGAGGCCCAACAGGCAGGGAAATAAGGATGTAGGAAGCTCGATCTTGCTTTTTTGTTGGCTTTCTCTGCTTCTAGATCCCTGGGTGGTGCAAATGATTAACATCTTTGGCTGCTAACTGAAAGTGTATAGAGGCTCAAGTCCACCTGAGAAGAAAGTCCTAGTAGGTCACTAATATCTACTTCTGAAAAATCAGCCATTGAAAATCCTGTGGAGCACAGTTCTACTCTGACACGTGTGTGGGCACCATGAGTTGCAAGAAACTCTATGGCAACCAACAGCAGCATGTAACCATCACACAGATTTAGCAATTAGTACTTTCTAGGAGTCCCTCTCTGGGTGGTGTAAATGGTTATTGCCCTTGGCTGTTAATTGAAGGGTTGGCAGTTTGAGTCCACCCAGAGGGTCTCGGAAGAAAGGCCTAGCAATCTACTTCCAAAACATCCACCACCAAAAACCCTACCGAGCACAGTTCTACTCTGTACACATGGAGTCATCAGAGTCAAAATCAACTTGATGGCAAGTGTTTGTTTCTGCTAGGGCCTTGGACTTGGGTTCCCAAGCTGATAACCTGCTTATTGTCTTGAATTTAGATGCCCCTTTCCTCAGTCCTTAGATATAACCCAGTTCAGCCTACTCTACTCAAGACTCCAAAGGGTGGTTTGCAGAGCCACCAAAGATGAAGGACAAGTGTGTCTTCCTCAACTTACAGACTCACTACCAGGCAAAGATGGGATCACAATTTCTGCACCATAGTCTTCACCTCAGACAAGGTGTTTCGTATTATGAAGTGATTAAAAATAAGTATTTAGTATACAACTAGCCATTTCTAAGTGCTAAGCATTGGATGTTGGCCCCAAGATACTATTCTTGTCTTTGGAAAATCTCTCTCTAGTGGGACAGCCAGGTAGGAGAATAGTGTCATCAAATTTAAGTGCTGTCATGGGGAACACAGAGGTGAAGGGGCCCCCTATGCATGTACTGGGAGTGGGAAGGGGTGGGGAGGGAAAGGCATCCTCCCAGTGGGGACCCAACAGGACAAACAAGGAGCCAGGCTTTTATTTGGATATCTTTTGATGTGACCCATTGGATAAAGTTCACTTGAAATACAAGTCAGAGTCTCTCAAAAAATGAGGTAAACCATTCCAGGTTCTTGCCCATATTTTGATAGGTTTTTCTCCCCAAGTAAGAATATGACACAGTGAAGTTTGAAATTATGAGCATTTCAGTTCTAACTAATCACTCTGGTGTGGCTACTAGTTCTTCCTGTGTTATTAAGACAATTGTACAGGACATGCAAGTGTGTCCACCTGCCTCCTCATTTCCTCTATCTTATGGGACTGGATGGCCTTCCTGAGGTCACTCTGTCCTCAGATTCTGTGATTCTGGGAGGAGAAGTTTGTTGCTTCAAATAGGCAGAGACGTGTAGTTAATCTAGAGGTGTCCTAAGTATCCCCTTGTTTATTCAAAGCCTGAATCAGTATATGGACTGAATGTGTCCTTCCATAAGATATGCAGAAGTCTCAAACCCTATACTTGTGAACCTGACTCTGTCTGGAAATAAGGGGGTTCTTTTTTATGTTAATGAGGTCATACTCATGTAGGGTGGGTCCTAAACGTGATTGTTTCTAGACCTTGAGAGCTTGTTTGGAGGTTCTAGCAGGGGAGTCCAGCTACATGTACACCCTTGACTGAAGAACAGTCCTCCTAGATTGGGAAAGGTTGTCCTCCCCAACTGAGGAGGTAGCTTCCGGAGGGACGCACATAGAGCAGTGAAGGAGGAAGGGGACACCTGCCTACCCAGCCAGATTGACCTAATTGACCCTGGCGATCAATGGGATAACAGATGTCAGAGCCAGATCACCCTGACATCCATCTAATCCCTTCTAATTGGCATCTTATAAAAAGGGAAAACAGATATGGAGAGAAAGGCAAACCCAGGGGAGGGTGAAAGAGGGGAGACCATGTGAGGAACCCACTATAAGCCAAGGAACACCAAGAAATGCCTGTTGTTATGTTGTTATGTGCCGTCGAGTCGGCCCCGACTCATAGCGACCCCTCCTTGGGTTTCCAAGGCAGTATCACTACGGAAGTAGGATTGCCCAACCTTCCTT